GTTGATTGACACCTGTTGTTAATGCGGTACCTCATTCTCAGCTGCACGACTCTGCCTGCACTGGCAATTTTTCGTTCTCCATTTACGCTCCTCATCGAGATGCAGTCAAAATAGAGACAGAGGTTCCATACCGTTGATCGTTGGAGTCACAACGATCACCCTGCAGTCATACCTCGTCATCTGATTTGGCCTGCTGTTATGACCGTCCATCCACCTAATTGAGTTGTCACGCAATTTTTATTAGTAGCTGACTTCGTGACTGCCTGGCTATATTTTACGCACTTCTGGCTTCTTCAGCACTCACTGCGTCGTGAAAACCTGGCATTCGTCTCGTCGCCTCGTAAACTCACAGGTATAATCTATAAGCCAAACCTTTTACTTTTTCCTTGCTTAAACCTACCGCAGGATCGAAACTCCGCCACGCTAATGCTGGTCATCAACAACTGCGCTTTGCCGTTTGCCTCTGACACAGCGTTGATCAATAATTTTGCTTTTTCTCTCTCACAGACCCATACTTTACGTTTAATGCTGCATGTCGTTAAAGGGATTTGCTAATTCCATGAAAAGTTAGGAAAAGTCAAATTAAACTCGCACATTCACCCAACGACTGACCGACTGACGACAGATCGGTCGAGTTGATGACATGATGTCAGTTTACTATCTACCGTAACTCTGTATGGTGAGGGTTGAACTGAGTTAGGTTGTGAGCGATTGCGAGGATGTTACGCTGTTTTCAGTTATGTGAAATTGTTCGATGACCAACGGACGGACGGATGACCATGCATGAATTCCTCTGTTAAATAAGCTGCCAGTGATGACAGTGTATGACTGTTGATCGATGCCCGCTTTCATAAACGCAAATATTCTTGTTGTACTATCTGACCTTCACAGTTCGATGTTGCACCGGACTCTCGTCTCACATATGCTCATTTCAGCACCCGTATCCGTCAGAAGAACAGAAGAAACAACTTGCTCAAGACACTGGTCTAACCATCCTCCAAGTCAACAACTGGTAAGAGATGGAATTTGTTATGTGCGGTTTTTTGCCATGTCTTCTCTGACGCTGTCAACGCATGCAAACCATAAGTAAATAAAGACGACCAATATGAGTGAACTTTTTCCACTGCCTTTTATTTGCTTCCCGTCCAGACAACTGACAGACCTGGCCGTGACCTCGCTTTGCATCTACAGTAAGTCAAGTGGGGGTCAATACCAACCTACTGTAACATTTTGCTTGTAATGAACGGTGTGTTATAAGGTGCGCGATTCGCCCAAGAGAGCCGTTCACCGCTATCTCATGTTCGGCTTCTCTTTTCGTTTGTCTTCTGTTCTTCATCAACCTTGCTCGCGTAACCGTCGTCAATGTCGCCTCTGACAAAACTGTCACTGCTTAACCCATATGTGACCAAATTTCGAATTAGCTCAGTCAGTCGATGATCGATGATCTTCTGCGACGTGGTCTCTGAGCAACGTGTGACTCGCCTTGTGGTAGCGACCATCGTGGTCCCATGTCGATCAAAATCCATCCACAGTTGAGATCTCTTGCAGCTGGCGGCGGCAATCGTTCTCCGCTGTTCTACCGTATGACAGTAATGGATCGATCATTTGTCACAAGTCAACAACGAGGCAGCGATTCTTCTGTTCTGTGGTGAAGGAACATAGTTGTTTCTTTATACATTATAGCCCTTATGGCTTTCACCGTCCCCTCCCCACTGTCATGCAAGAACTTGATACTTAATTTGACCCCTTGAGATGGTCACTCATGTTGAAGTGCAGTTGTTTGCCTCGCTATCTACCTTCTGGTCAGCCAGTTTTCTTTGACGTTCTTCTTTCTGCTTCGCTTCGCTTTCGTTTCCGTCTATGCCGTCACAAAGAGATGCTTTTGATCAGCCGAACTGATATTATATTCATTGATTTTCGATTTGCACCAACGTTCATTAATAAAATGAAAATTACAGTAGGAATAATCTGTGTAAATTATTCGCTGCCGTTCGTCGATCGATCTGCTGGCGTGATCGAATGGAAGTTTAGTGTCAGAAAAGAGATGGATGGATGAAATGCGACAGTCGCCATGGAAACTGGTTCGCCGGTCAGACGCAAAAGCAACAGCGCCAATACTGGTTATTTTCCTGATTGTTCTTTTGGCATGGACATAACATCAAAGGCCAAATAGTCAAGAAAGGAGATGGTAAACAGCTACCAGGATCTAACTCATCGAGAGTCAATGACGGCTTATGTCTCATGGTTATTCAGTCGTCAGCATAGTTGTCAAGTTTTCTGGTCAACCAGTGAGGTTCTGAAGTTTCTGTTAACACAAACTCTACATATTTTCAAAAGGCGCCTTTTTGGAATCATTTATGGCACAAGGCTGTTTTTGCTATAATGGCAATTTGTTTCAGTGGTTAGCTGTTCATTTTGTTGCTCTTTCTTCTTGCAAGCACATGGTCTGCCATTTTTTAATGCATTGATTTAGATATAGCCTAGGAATGTGTGACTCTTACTCAGTCTAGCCCGTCAGAATCATAAAACCCTTGGAACTAGAGAGAATCATGAAAACAGAAAAACCACTGGAAGATCTAGAGTCAAAGCCTGCCTCTCTGAGTACATCCAGATAAGAAAAGTGGTGTCCAGATGTCCATAAATGATCAAGGACTCTCATATTAAGACTGCATCGTATTGCGCTGCTTTCTTCTGTCCCTGCAACGGGAATGAGCCAAATGACGATCATTTCCTCTCGAAGCATGACACCCTTAAACTGTTGCAAGAGGTATATTCTTACAGATCGCAATCACATTTTACGTGATCACCATCAATGTCGTGACTTCGTTTCCTTCCAACAGACTTCCTGACGCACAGAGCACTTTGGTATAGAAGGCATTATTCCATTCTACAGCGCTCTACCTGTTTCTTGCCTCGATCAGGACACTGGTACCGTGTTGCTTGGCAACCGTTTTTTTGACAAACCGCTAAGAAGTGCAACCGGATTGCGTAGAGCAGCACTGGCTTCGACCTAATGGCGAGGAGGGGATCAAATGACACGACTATATGAAAAAAGACTATATTCTCTTCTATGAACAGGTGACTTCAGTAGGAGTGGAAATTAGTATAAAAGGATGTTGGCCCTCTTTGAAAAGTGATTGAGCATGGACCACATATGATTGCCAACGTTTTGCTTATGGAGCCGAAACACGGCAGGGGTCAACGAAGAGGCCAGCACGGAAGAGGGGAGAACACCTCGTAGAGGCAGACCTTCTGTGATACAATAATTGGTGCTTTATAGTAAAAGTGCTGAAAAACTGCGGATACAGAGGGCGTCACAAATCAGGAACGTTTTGCTCATGCCAACTGTTTAAGGTGATGATCACACACGCGCTCATGTGCGCCAAAACACATCACGCTACATTAGCCTACTTCACCGTGATGCATTATTTCCCCGATTTTGCATTAATATTAGTCCTTGTTCTTACCGCCATTTTGGTCTATAATCTATGCTCAACATGTAGTTTTTCCCTTCAAAACTTTTGCTCTCCTTTTGCAACACATTCTTTGCTGCGGCTGTCACCATATCTGTCAAATGCCAAGTTTTTTATTGTTTCCTCTTTGAGTCATCAGGCAGGCTTTCAAGGTTCGCTAGAGTAATTGATTCTGACCAAGCAATGTCAAAGTCAATTTACGTGATAAGTCTGCTTTGATGTGCTACCAGTTGGCACGGGCGAAATTCATAAAAATTTATTACCGTGGAAAGTAAAAGTGCCGGAAATAAATCAAAAAGGCAGCTGTATTTAAATTTATTAACTTTTGGCGTTCTGTTTTGAGTACTCGCATTTTATTTAAATTAGTCCAAAAGCAAAAGTTGCTCTTGAATACCTTTATGTACGGCTTAAATGATGCTGGCGCCGTTAACTTAATTTCTGATGCTGTCTTAAAGTGAATAACTTCTCAGAATTTTTAATTCCGCCCATTCATCTGTCGACCCGGCTCGCACATCAGGCTAAAGGTCGTTGTTAATGAAAATCTTCCTCATTGCCCAGATCGTCCTATTTCAGTTTTACCACCTATTCATTACGTAGAACTCGCTACTTGCACCATCACGTCGTTTGCTGTTAACTCTATACTTACGAACAGCGTCGTAAAGCACTTTCACGACACTGGCTACATCGACACGACGACTGCGTTTCACCTCTTAACTGCGCTCACAAAGCGATGCCCGCAATCTCGTAAATTTCTGTTGAAATATCGCTTTGGATTGACACCGGTGTCAGATCCACTTTAATCTGGGTCGTCAGATGATGATCCTCTGAAAAACAGATATTTGCCTATTAATTTATGACACGATGACATCCTGCCGCTGTTGCTGAATCTCTATGACAGTAGCGGTGGTAGCAGCTTCGCATCGAGCGCCAGTCTCTGAGGAGAGTCGGTCAGTCGCTAGCTACAGTATACCGCATCAGTGGTTTACGGTAGTCGGTCGTCGTCAGAGACGAGACAAGAATCGACCGGAGCGAGTGAGAAACAACGAAATCTGTTATATGGGTCGGTGGAGAAGAGAACCGCGCGCAACATTCGCTTGCTGGTCCGGTTTTTCGTCGCCGAGCCAATAGCCCAACCTGATTTTACCAAGATGATCTTGGCAGAAATCACTGCCGTGATCGACTGGACCGTTGGCCGTTAGAATGTGGTCGTGGTTCGCCCGCGGCGCGCTACCCGGCCTCGGCCATATTTCATGGCTGGCATTTTCGTTCGCGTCTGTCACATCGCATTGCTCTTTTACAGTTGAACGTGTCAAAAAACAGGACGCGACCCAAAACTGTGGGACGGCGCTGTTCACTTGGCTCTTAAAGAGCGCCAGCGATGATGGGTGAC